ATATATATATATATATATATATATATATATATATATATATATATATATATATATATATATATATATATCATGTCTTGTAAGTTTTAGAAACAGAGTGATTTGAAAACAAGTACAGTTTCTTTGAGAGTCTTTATCCGTCAATTCAGTCTGACGGATTCCATTATTTACATATATAAAATCCTAGTTTATCCCCTTTTATTTATGAATGAAATTGCTGTGAATTCTAAATGAAATTGAGCCTCATGCTTCTAGACTTGGTTGACCCATTTCTTACGAGGATGATTATGGTTGTCCATTAATTTTTAGCTAAATATATAGTTAGTTCAATCCCAAAAAAATGTGGATATCATCATGACTCCTATAATCCACACACCATGATGCCATTGGTAGATAGCTCTCACCGAGAAAGGGGTAGAAACCATAATGCCAGGAAGGTCTGATAGCTTGTAGGACAGCTATCTTCTAATCTTTGCAGATGATGGAGGCTTGACAAAATAAGGCAAGTAAATATGCGAGACAGCTTTAAACAAGGACCAAGAATGGGGAGGATGGAGACTCACAGTTGATTTGTCATAGTAACACAGGCTGTGGATGGGAAATTTGAGAATCCCTGTTAACATGTGCTGAGCAATTACCAAAGAATATGCAGCAGGGTTGTACACTAGTCGTCCATGGATACTAACTAGTGTAGTACAGGATGGCAAAATTGATTTATAAGCTGAGAAAAAGTTTGCTTCATAACCTGGTCCAGTTGACAATATTTGTCTTTCACATCCACCAACATTACTTTATTCTCCCTTTACTAGAGCCACTCAATAGAAAGATCAATCACTAATCATGCTCTCAGGGATTTAGTATTAAAACAAAACAAAGGGGGTTTGATGATACTAGAACTTGGAACGTTTAGAGAATTGCTGCCGCAGAACTCTTCTCATAACCTTGTTTGAAGCAGTCCGCGGAAGAGATGGCACAGGCACAACAGATGAAACCTTGTATGAAGTAAAAATATATATACATGCCTTACAGCAGTGGTGAATAAATATGCTTCAGAAAATAATAATGTAGACAAAAGAAAGCAAGTACCTTGAATAGAGGATTCAGTCTCTTCTGTAGTGCAGAATTGAAGGCCAACCTTAACTTTTCCAAATTTTCTTCCGAAAAGCTTTGATCTTTAAAAATGACAGCCATGACTAATTGCTCAGGGCCACCGGTAGATGGAGGGACCCCGATTGCAGCTGTCTCAAGGATAGAACTACTGACGCTGTTACAGATCCGTTCGATCTCGACAGAACTTACCTGAGCATTGATGGATTAACTAACATGGATTAGTTTGTTTGTCTTAAGACCGAAATGTGTCGTTGCTGATGTGTACCTTAATGCCACCAAGATTCATTGTGTCATCTGTACGACCATGTGCCTTGTAATATCCACTAGCAGTCCGCTCGAATTCATCTCCATGTCTTCGAAGTAGCTGCATGTCCAAGCCTGATTAGACCTATGAACTCAATGGAAGAAGACCACTGAGTGTAGGTAAAAGGCTTACCTTTCCATTGAGAACTGGCATGCCCTTAAAGTAGACATCGTAATGATCAGCATTTAATAATGTTACTGATGCTCCGAACATTGTTGGATTGAGAGCTAACTCACCAATCCCAGCAGCAGTTTCCGGCTGTGATTCAAAAAACGAAAACAATCCATTACATATATTCTCGACAAGTTCGATGGATGAACTTCGCTAGTCGCTTTATATATATTACAATTCATTATCCCCACTAAGATATTCCAATAGACATTTATAACTTTGATGATACTTCAGTTGCAAAGAGTTGAGCAGATGAAGCTTTTCGCTACCATGTATCCCAGGATACATGTTGAATATTGTTTCTACAACAAATGAGATGATGGAACCCACTTTGCACAACTTACTGCATGGCATCAAATCTTTATGGACTGTGTTTCACATAGAATTTTTTGCTTAAAATTTTAGATGGCATAATGTGATAATATGACCTTGCAAAAAATAGTTGGAGCAGAGTACTTACAAGTGGATTTCCATCACTGTCAAGGATAAATAACTTGCAACCCATTGCGGGTGTACTGAATGCAGCCAATGCCTGAGGCTGCAACAGTGACCCAGTAACAAATCCACCTCCAATTTCTGTACCGCCACAATATTCGATCACTGGTTTGTAGTAAGCTCTTCCCATGAGCCATAGGTAATCATCCACACTGGATGCCTCTCCAGTGGAGCTAAAGCAACTACACACAAGTAAATTATATTTTATCACTCCCAGAGTCAAAAGGATGTAGTAAAACAACCTTCCAAAATTGATATTATTACCGAATCGCTGACCAATTGAGACCCATGGTACAATTTGTGTTCTTCCATGCACGCACAATACTTGGAACGACACCAAGCATTGTTACCCTGGCATCCTAGACGGGTTGGAGAACTGTTAGTCTACATTTCTGAACTATGGAAGAAATTATTGAAGCTCCATATTTCATGAAATATAATTATCACTGAGCAATTAAACAGATCAAAGAAAGTAATCATGCCTACTAAAAGAATGCAACAAGTTATTGGTTTCCTTCTAGTGAATTGTTTATAGTATCCACCATCGATTAATCACGCCATGGATAAATCACAAGAATACTTACAAGCATGCGACAAACGAGTAAACAGATCCTCAAACCAACCTGTGACTATTAAGCAAACATAAACTCATACCATTCAGAGATTTTGTTAATCTAGCACAAAAGTATACTAGGACAAATAAGTTTTTTCTCATCCTTTGACCGCATAAACATCAGCAACATGTGGCATTTTGATACATCAAGGTAAGTATGATTTAGTTTTTGACACGATACAAAGGTCAAAAATGAAAGTTTGAACTGTTATTGTTCAAATCAACATGTTTTATTGCACTTCAATACAAGCACAAAAGAAGATCAATGATCCAGTTTATGAGCAATAATTAGATGATAAACTAAAATCTCATGGGAAGTAACAGACTTTGATACGTATAGCTTTTTAGAAACTAAAGAAAAATCCAGTGCAGAAGTTGCAAATGGTTGGAAGATTTTTATCATTTGAAATTGTTGCCCCAAGGTAATGCACATTTTCAACACATCCTTTGAGACAAGGTAGAAAAAAAAATTTTGTTCTTCAATACTGCCAACCACCTCCATAAGAGCGGCACCCTTGCAGGTCACCTGAAACCTCCACCCAGTGACTTCCAAGAGTCTGCAAAGTACTTTGGTCAACCACCAAGCCACGCATCACATCATCAAACTGCCAGCATAACAACTACCGGGGCTACAGTAACAACTGCTGCATATACAGGTGCCTAATCCCACATTTAGGTTTAGTTATAATCATCTTGCTTCCATTGTCATACTTTCATCTGCATCTACTATTATCAAAACAAAAACATGTTCTGGTCTTCCTTGTTAAAAGATATTTATAAAGCATCGAAAAAATAAACATTTTTTCATTGTTTTCCTCTTTTCAAAAATGAGGGAGAAATAAAAGAGGTTTTTTCTTTCATGGGATGGACTATAAGAAATTTGATATAAGACAAAATAATTAATGATAGTAATCCTTCAGATATTAATGAAAGAGTTACCAAAGATTTTTTTCTTCTTGTTTCTTGTCAAATTTAGTTATTACAGGATAAACAAAGATGAAAAAGATAAAGCATGTCCTGTCAGTCCGTGTATATATAATTTCGTAAAAGGAAAATATGAAAGATCTTAGAAGATGAAAATGTGCTAGCCAACATTCTGAAGTCAATTGAGAGATGGCTCTTTCAAGTGCACCGAAAATGAATCAAATGACAATTTACATCAAACTGTTATGACAAAAGAATGCATAATTACTGATCAATTTGTTCATCACTCTTATAGAACAAGAATATCATGATTTTATTCCCCAAATAAATCCAGTGTACTGTGAGAAATTATATAACACTAACTTAATATACCTACAAGTTAAAAACAGGTTCAACAAAGTATCTTAGATGGAATTTTAACTTATATTACTACAAAAAACTACTTAAATGGAGCTCATCATACCTGTACAAATTTTGCAAATCCGGAGCCAAGAGGGATGCCATTATATAGAGCCATGGAAGCTCCATTAATTAAACTGGCATACACAAGCCATGGACCCATCATCCAACCAAGATTAGTAGGCCATGCAACAACATCACCTTTACGTATATCCATATGTGCCCATGCATCCGCAGCAGCCTTCAGAGGAGTTGCATGTCTCCATGGAATTGCTTTTGGCTCCCCTAAACAAAACCAACAATTGGCATATCTGTTATATTGAGTTATATATAGTTCTTTGAGAAACAGCAGTCCAATTAAAAAAGGGTGTCTCCTTTTAGTACCTTTGCTTAATTATTTAAGAATTGTGACTATGAACATTGTAAAGAATTGAAGACAAATACAAGATAATTTGTTAAAGAGGCACTAGGTGTTCAAGATGTTTAGGTTCAAAATTATTACCTGTAGTTCCTGATGAAAAGAGGATATTTGTGAATGCCTCGATAGGTTGTTCGACTGCAGCATAAGGAATGTCTCTACAATTAAGAAAAAACATAAAATAATAGTTTGACAAAACAAAAAGCTTTGACTATATGGTCTAATAATTTCAATAGTAATTTTACTACAACTTTATTTGGTAGCTAAAAGGAAAAAAATCCACTAACTTTTTTCCAATTAGAAACAATAGAATCCAGCAAACTGAATGTGGTAAAATGTGACTGATGACACTCCATAAATACTATTATTTTTCCTCCATGCTTTTCTTTCCTAATAAATGTATCATTATGTTAAACATATAGTTCTAAATTGTAACTTTGCTTATATGAAATTTGTCAATCAAGTCCATAACCTTGGTGCAGTTAGATGCCTATGATCATCGTGCTTCTATAATGTATCCGTGAGCATCATGCATTGTCCTAAGAATAAGGCATCCACTTCTGGATATTACAGATCAAAGAACTCAAACTAATCATGTAAGCAAACGGAGAAGAAAATGCACATATAAAAGTTCACATACTTAGTATATTCAACTCTTCCCAGGAAGTCATGCCAAGAAATATCATTTGCACGCAATCCCTTAATGATAGTAGAACCTTGTGTAGGGATGATGATTGCTAACGGAGCAAGAGCCTCAACAACTTTACTATAAGAGCCAATGTTATAAAATTAGAAAGGCTTAAGGACTTATTACATGTACTCAACACTGCTTCTGAAAAGAATCATGAGCATCACCTGTATAGAGGTAGTTCCTTTTCACCACGAATAATAGAATCCTAAATCCAAAATTACAAATTCAATAAGATTTTTTCAACACTGCAGAGTTAGAATGTTACTAGCTGAATTTCACTAGATGCATGACTTTGATTCAATGGCGCAATCAGAAATAGCGCTTTTGTTCAGAAGTCAAAAAAGAACAAAAATAAAGCTAAAAAATAACTGTGAAAGCAAAAGGAAATATGACATTGTCCTATGTCCAAGACTAGAAGTTAACACATATTTTCTGTAGATATTGGTATGTAAATCTGATTGAATGAAAACTCTGAAAGATGCATCATCTCTCCGAGTTGTGAGGTGGTTCTGAGTTCTGACAACATACTACTATTATCTACTATGTAACTCTGTGGAACAAAAATAAAGCCAGCATGATTAATAAATCGGTTGATCCAACTCTAAAATTTTCCAGTTTGTGTCTGGTTGGACACTCTGCTCAAGTGTGCAATTTGTCAGAGTCTAGTAGTGCAGGGTCCCAAAACCGATCAGAATTTGCCATAGTTAAATGTGACTGTACAATTCCCACAAGCTCATTGTTCGAACCTATCTTTTACAGTCAGGCACGAATAATTGCCAAAGTAAGAAAAGAACAGGGAAGAGATGAGGATGATAAAGAAGAGATGTGCAAAAGTTAGTTCTTAAACCTAATAATTTACCAGTAGGGTTCTTAATTGTACTTTACCTTTTATTAGCTTTTTGGTTTTGTTTGAAGTTTTATTTTTTATTATTCTTTCCATTTCTTAGTTATTTTTGACTGGAGTGTGTAAATAATGTTCCAATCCCACTAAACCTACATCCGGAATTCTAATATGAAACACAATACCGACCCAATCCCCCAAATGTTAAATTAAACATACAGGTGAAAATTTTACAAACATAAAATTTTAACCTGGGTGAAAATTGCTTTTGCATTTGCTATCTTCAGCCTTGTTGCTATTTCATTAGGAGCAAAGCTATCTGCTATGGACACAACCACGTAGCCTGCTAGAATAATAGCAAGGTAGATGATAACAGCAGTTACAGTCATCTGCATATCTATTGCAATGGCAGATCCTTTGGGCAAACTCAACGTATCAAGTGCATTCGCTACCAGCCTGCAAAATGAAAATCAACTTATCACTTGACACAAAAAAGATATTTTCATAAGAACATAAAATTGCAATTTCATGTAGAAGTGACAGCTTAGGTGTATTTCCACCCTCATTTTTTATGACAATTTTAACTTTAAACACATAATCCATAACAATATACCAAAAGAAAAGCAGGCAACAAAAGCTCAAAATAAAATTAGACGGTTGTGTTTACAACCACTAGGATCTAGGCGGCAGCTAGGCCATGAAAATCACATCATTATGTGATTATGAAATCATCCAAAAATTGACTAGTAAAAGAGAAGTATGCTTCTGTACACTTACAAACAGCAATAAGTATAGATGTCCTTTTCAAAAATGATTAGAACATAGTAATTAGTCTTTTCTAATCAACCAATGAAGATGGATCTAGCAAGATCTTTTTCATAATAACTCTGATCTTAGATCTGGATAAGCACAAAAACAATCCAAGAGCAAGAACGGTGGCCCAGCACAAGGATATCTGGATCTAGATATTTTTTTGTCCATTCTATTCCACATATGTCAATAGTTATATTGTTACAAACAACTTACTTTGGTGTCAGAACCACACAAGGAACTTGTACAATGTCATGATGGATTCCGAGTTCTAAGGGGTGATCAGAACTTCAAAACAACTCAACATTCCTTTCCCTTAACAAAGTAATAGGCCTTTCGGATGGACTTTACCAAACAAGAGAACATTATTTTTGTAGGAAAACTAAACAACCTGCAGTAAAAAGAACGCTATCAGGTAAAACTTGAACATTATTATTATGCATATGTGCCAATGCGCCATTATCCTGAGGTTAATTACAACTCCATACAAAAGTGAAAAATAATAATAATAACAAAATTTGTACCAGACTTGAGTTCTCAGTTCCTTTAGTGTCATGGTATGAACAGGCAAAGAATCATCTCCTTCATCTCTCCACAAAATCACAACATCATCAAGGCCTCTCTTATCATTCAAGCTCAAGCATAAGCCGGCAGCATTTAGATGAGCCCCTGGCATCCACTGGCCCCCAGGATAAGAGTCATGGTCACGTAAAATACATGATGGTGGCACCGAAAACGAAATACCCATCTCTTCGAAAATCATCTTCCAATAAGCCTATGAATCCAAACAACATACAGCAACAACTAATTCAAAACAAACTTAGAATCCACTTAAGTAATAAAGCACGCAATGAACACCAGCAGTTCCTTTCAGCAATACCTCTGGATTTTCCACGGAAAATTCCTGAAAGTCTGTAAAACTTGATATTGGATCCTTGTATCTCGATCCAAGTAACTCCTTTCCACGCCTCTGTAACAGCCGTCCAGTATTTGTTGAAGCTGCACACTCTCTGGTAATCCAAATTCAATAATTCGTCAGTACTCCCATGACAATAACTGCACAGGAATCAAACAGGATTTATATCAACGCGAACTTTTTCTTAAGCTTTGACTCAAATGATGTAATGCCATCCCCAGAATAAAAGACAAATTCTCCTATAAATCCGGACCAAAAAGACTGCGATTCAAGAAAAGAGTGAAAGACACGTTACTCGTTCGGAATCCAAGCAGGAGGGGGTTCGGAATCGAAGCCCACGTAGCACCCATAGTACATCATCTGATGAAGAGGAAACGGGAGATCAGGACTCAAGAGGCGCTTGGAGATGGCGTCCCACGCCTCCGGGCCGGAGCTCCCGCTCTCCAGGAGAATCAGCCGGAGGCATGCGTGGAGCCTCTCCGCCTCGTCCGGAGGCACACCGGCGGCCCCGATCTCCTCGATCGTGATGTCCTCCAAAGCCCGGTATGCCATCGTCTGCCTATCTGCTCTCCTCCCCCATTCGAGTTTTTATTCCCGAGGGTGGTGGGCTGCATCGAAAGAAGGGAAGATATCTTTTTCCGGTGTAACCTGTACCACCGTTTGGTGTGTCGACGCGTCGGTGGCTACAGTTTAGGGGACTGCATTAGTTACTTGGATGAGGAGGAACACGTTACCTATGAACCCAGTGAGTCGATGAGACGGGTTGGTAAGTGTTGGGCGATGACTCCCGCACGCCAGCCCGCTTGTCACCCTCACCCTCATATGTAAAACACCACTCCTGCTGGTGGGGTCCGGACGAATACTTGTTTTTTCTGTATTATTATATGTTAATACAAAATAATGTTTTTTAAGGTTTTATATTTTATTTATAGGTTTTGTTCTTTCTATATTTTTAAAAAATAATTATATTTTTTTACTTTGATGATTAACCTTGACCATCAAATCCAAATCAATGATTTTGAATGATATATATATATATATATATACAATCTAATGATGTGTTTGAATGTTAATGAAGTAATTATTTTTATCAATCGAAAATCAAAACTAGAGTCAATTATTGGAATTGTTGGAATCCAATTCTAGAACCCGATCAAAACCACCTGAAATCGATTTAATTTCGATTTCAAATTTTGCAAAACCAAAATCAACATCGAAGGTTATTGATTTCTACTTCTAACTTCGATTTTATTTTCAGATTCAATGATTTCTACCAACATCTTTTCAATGTGGAATGGGTAATTCAAACATCTATCTCTAATCATTGGGAAGAGCTTCTGTTCACAACATAAATGTACGAAAAGATACAAGTCCAATTACAAAAATCAACAACGATAATACCGACGTTGTAATGTCCGGACCATTTTGGATCCACCATTAGCTCTGTAAAAAATCAATTACAAAGGATAACTATGCTAATAATTGCCAAGTGCCACCTCCTGCTACGATGTGAAAAAAGGACAATCTTATTCCTGAGATCAACCAACCTTCCAATCCTCCCACCATCAATCTTATTTATTATACAGTAGCAGCAGAACAAGATATACCCTGTATAGTTCTAGTTTTGATGCTTTCGTAATCCTCATGGCTTCTTCCTGGTTGTGAATGTTGAGCTGATGCGGCCACTAGAGTGGCAGTTGATCTGCTGTGTCGATGTAGTCTCTCTGGTTCATTGACAGTAAACACAAGGCATGTGGGAGAAAGAAGTAGAGAGCCAGGAAAACAAGAACCCCGAGATCTGCTTCTTCCCCTACCGCTGGTTGGGGAGGGTTTCGCCAGTATATTTGACTGACACACCAAGTGCAGTACAAGGTCGCGATGATCAGGACAAGTCTCAAGGATTGATCTGATCTCTTGATGATGGATTTTCCATTTTTCAGTCTGCAAAGCAAACAACAAGACCCATTGTGGTGTCAATGATGAATAATTGTACAAGAAACAAAGTAAAAGGGACTTAATTCAGTAACAATAACAATCAACAATCCAGGAGAGAATTCCCATTTACTGGAAAAAGGATTTTCTAAAATCAGATTCTTTTGTTTACTCATTGTCTTTGTATCTTATAGTACACTATTCATTTCTCGCATTTGACAGATTCAAATGGAAAGGTGAAGGCCGTGGAATGTGTTTGTGGTCACAGAGGATTGGACATTATGCTTGACCATGAAGCTGGATGGATAGATAACAGTATTGCATCATGGTCAACCAATAGCCAGTATGTTCAAGAAAATGTAATAGACTGGAAATTCCAGTTATTAGTTATCTGCAAATGGCATTGAATTTTCTTCAATAGAAACTAATAAAGTCAGAAGTAACCACAGGAGAATCATTTCATACATTCAACATAATCCTAATCTCTTCTGTAAAGGCCCTAGATACCTTGAAGATTTTTGTCAAGCCCATAGGACCAATAAAGAAAGGAGACAAACTGAGATTATTCAATTCAGAAGCATTAGTTGCTCAAACAAACCAAAAAATAGAGTGTCATCTGAATTCTGAAACTAGCAGTGGCACCTAGTAAGCCAGATTCATAAGGATCATGAAACAGATACATGGAGTTTCCATCAAAAAGACAAAGTGAATGTGCAGAGAGCAATATTGTATTTTAGTGGTCTAATAACTCTAAACTTAATCACAAATGTTTAGTATTCTTCAGAGGTACTTGTGTTTAAAACTTTGCATATACACTGTCCAAATTTGGTATCTGAAGTGGCAATTTCTTTTTCATGACATATTAATGCAAACATAAAGTTTTGCCTTTGTTGTTTGAAATTTTTGAATGTGACAATGCGTAGAATTGCAGGAATTTATTGCTTATTTTTTGTACTCTTGAGAACACATCAAATGTCAAGAACGTACCATATCAATGTTCGTCCATTTCACGCCAAGCTACCTTTTAATTTCCTTAGTGCTAGATCTTGAAATCTTGGACTAACTTTTCTATGCAAGTGATTCATGGTTCTATCGGGGCGTCTTCTTGACTATGAAGAAGCATCAAAACGACAGGGAGAAAGTGCTAACATGGTAGTGTATTGCACGTGCTCATGTATTTTGCTTTATTCTGCATGATGAATAAAATGCTACCATGAAATGTTGTCGGACAAACTCATCAAGCCAAACTTCCAACTGGCCACGTCCAATTTGCTACTAGAGTTCAAGATGCCTTAGCAATCAGTCAAAGGATGATGGGCCTACTGGATTACCTGAAAATTGCTGTGAACCACCATCACTGGTTTCATGAAGTGCAGAAACAAATAATTGCACAAACAATCATCCAATTACAATCCTAAAATTAACTTAGAATGCAGTCCTTTGATCTAGGTATAAGTTCTATGACTTCATATATATAGTCCTCTTAATAATTACCTGTTGATATACACAAAGCCCACAAACAAAGAAGTGCATAAAAGTCCAACCACGACTACAGCATCTGGATTGATAGGAGCAGAGTTCTTCCACCAGCCTGTGCTCAATATCCAGGTATACATTGTTGAATGGCCATTCTCCTGTGAAGATGATAAGTAACACAGTCAGCAAACCTAGTTTAAATAATTTAAAGGTTGTCACTTGTATAGGGGAAAGTAAACAAAACTTATAAGAATGATAAAGCTTATTTCAGACTCAAATTCTTTCAAATATAGATTTTCCAGAGATGTAGCTTTTTGTTTTTGCCAGTACAATTGATTGAGCATTCCAAGCACAAATCGATTTAGAAAGCGTCAGTTTAAGTTTGTGTTGTTCATGCCCCTTCAAAATGGTTCTTGACAACAACTCTACATGCACATGGGACCACAAGATTTTGATGAAGATAACTAAATACATCTGAAGATGCAAGAGTGCAAAGTAACACTCAAAGTTCTATTTACAGGAGGAGGCACAAATGTGATCAGTCTAAAAGTGTATAATATTGAACATCATTTGACTTATATGTCAACAATAGTTGTGGGCAAATTATATAATGGATTCTGTAAACAATAATAGTTGAACTCAAATTTTGTACAGTAAAGCATTGACTGCCAAAATCAGCTGATCCAGAACATAACAATGTCTCTGATCCAAACGAGTGTAAAGTACTCCATTACTAATTACTGTAAGGTGGCTCTAAATGTTTACACCATCAATAATGCAATCACTAGGCAGTTTTGCTGGAATATTTTCTTTCTTACGCTGACTCAAATGCAGTGCTGAAATGATCATATACTATAAAGAATCTGGAGAAAAAATCCTCTGAGTAAAGGAAAACTATCGACCTAAAATATGTAGCATGAGATCGATTTATACCTGCAAGATCATGTATTTCTCGAGATCGTCCCACTAATTAAAGATCCAAATAGGAAGCACTACGCTAAATTCGAAAGAAGTATAATGCTCACCTCGAACAAGTGATCCAAGAAGAAATGCGACAGGGAACCAGCCGATAACAACAAGAAGCACTGCATCTTGCTCAACGAGACCTGAGTTCATCCAAATCCAATTCAATTCGATCCTAATAATTGACGAAGCAAGTAATTGTTGGCAAGCACAAGTTGCAACCCCATCAAAAACTCACGCAACAAAAAACAAAATAAAGGAAGAAAACTACCAGATCGAACTCATCTGATCAGAACAACAAATCTAAACAAGAAGCATGTTTTCTCAATATTTAAGCTCCACGAAGTCTTGATAGATGCACAAAATCGATTGTTTGTTGGGGGAGAAAAAAGAAAGAAAGAAAACGACGCAGCAGGAGCGAAGTCGGAGAAGTGACAAGAGAACTGACCCCGGAGGCGGGATCGAGGATGCCTTTGCGAAGGAGGAGAGCGGAGAGCCAGGCATAGAAGAAGGAGAGGGGGAGACCGAGCAGCATAGGGTAGTAGAAGGGGTGGTGGACAAGGTCCATCGCAAGGGACCCGAGGGAGTGGCCGAGGCCGGAAGAGGAGGAGATGCAGGAGGCGAGCCATTCGGCAAAGGAGCCAAGGTCGGGGCCGAGGAAGGCGTTGGCGGCGTAGACAACGCAGTGGTGGGGCCCGAAGCGGCCTCGGGAGAGGCGCATCAGCCCTGCCCCAACCCCCAACGCGTACATCGTGTGCGCCCCCGGCCCCGGCATCCTCTCTCTCTCTCTCTCTCTCTCTCTCTCTCGCCCTCCTCCTTCACTTTCGCCCCTCCGCGCCTGTCTCCCTCTCTCGCCCCCTCTCCCTCGGTGCCGACGGCCGCGATGGCTATGGCTTTAAAGACAGAAACACTCTTCTTACCTGTTCGACTGGCACTCGAATTGCCTACCTGCATTGTGATTGGATATATTAACATGGCCCACGACAAAGTTTTTGGGGCCACATTTGCAAGGTAATAAAACAGAAGCATTTTTGTTTAAGGTATTCAAGTCATATAAATGGGAAAAAAAAGGAAGTTGATATTGTTGACCAACACCCATTAGCCTAAAACTGATGTATTAAAATTTGTGGATTGAAAATTGATTTTTTTTGGGGATAAGTTGTAAAAAAAAACCATAATAATTTGCATATTACACTGTTTAAATTACGAATGTTTGATATCAATCCATACAAATAAATTTATTTGGACAATAATCATTAAAATTTTGATTTATTCTATAGTTTGATTCAAATATAACTCATGTAAAACTAGAACAATAGAGATGTCAGAATGTATAACATAAAAAACACAGACATTTAAAATCAAATAATATGATAGTGGCAATTATAGAGAAAATATAAATATAAAATCAAGAAAATTTTAAAAAAATAAAGAATATACATTTAAGATAATACATATGATGATAACATATAAAAAATAGCAAATTAAAGAACAGAAGAGAATATGCTTACAGCATGCATACAGCCTATGAGTGCTAGTTGAAGAGTAGAGCCCCAGTTAACTCTCAGTAATGGAGGTCAAGCTTAAGCACCACATGTTATCCAGTAACACACTTGCTATTGATGCCTGGAGCAGATCACATCATGTCCCTGTTCAAGATTCATCCCTGTATAGAGTTTGAAGACAACAAAAAGTAGACTTCAAAGCTCATATTATACATGCATGTTTCTCCAACAGTCAGATAAAACACAAATTTATGCAGGACATTGTGTTCATGAGACTAAAACTTCTGCTCCTTGCTATTTGCATGCCAAAACTTACAGCAACTCTTACTTTTTCTTCAGTGTCTGTCAAATGGGACATGCCTATGTAATATAATATGCATATCCAGCTCATGTTTGTTCTTTGGTCACAGTCAATCTGTTTCCATCTTGTCCTCCTTCATAAAAATATTTACTGCACATCTCTACTCTTCTCTAAATGATTATAGGATTATAAATGTTATACTTTGTTGTCGATGAGTTGATGCATTGAGAAGCTGAACCTATTGACCTTGTTACATATTTGTGACAGAAGTGATGATGGAGACCCTTAAATACCACCATTTGGATTTGTCAGGAAGACAATCATATTTAAAACAGAGTTCTTCCATAATTTTATACTCAACCTGAAAGTGTGCACTTCTTGGTAATTTGTAGTTGTTCAACCAGCAGCTGCAATATAACATCAATTTCATTTAGATGATTTTTTTTTAAATCTTCTATTATTAAGAGCTACTGTTACACTTCAATTTAATTCTATAATATAAATGAGTTAGGGTTAATATTAACTTAAGTATTTTGATTGATGATATAGATCGAATTGTTATCCCATCTCTCATATGATCGAATCGTTATACGACTAGGAAGAAATGACATATAAAATTATATGATACATCACAACGTTAAATCGTTAGGCTATGTCTCACATATATCAATTCTGTTGAGCCTTCATATAAGATTAAGTCCTTAAGTGGAACATATTATAATTTCTTAATTCAATCCTAGTAAAGTAAGACTATCATCCACTTGTAAAAATCTAATGTATTTAATATTATTAATTTCAATTTTAATATTTTAATTAATGATTTGAACCAAACAAAATTAATATATAAATTATATTATTATATCTTATAGCTAAATCTGTTATTTGGCTTCACATAAACCTACTTTTTTTCAAAGAAAATATTCAAAAGTTATTTTGGAGTAAGTATTGAAATATATAGAGTGATTTTTTTCAGAAAATATCCATATTTTAGGTATGATACTCTATCTTTTATTTTTTTTTTCTAAGCAATACATTTAATTAAAAAAAATAAAATACCTCTAAAAGAATTTCGCCTGTTTTTTTACTAGTTTTCAGTCATTTTACAAGTTTATAATATTTTTCAATAGTATTTATGGTATTTTATTAATACATTAAAAAAATATAAATGTTATAAAAAAATGACACCCTCTTTGATTATCATTACTCATAGATCATTGTAATATTATATTTATTAAGTATATAGATAGTTTGATTGAGATTAAAAATTATTTAGATTATTTATAAATATTTTTAAAATAAATTTTAAAAATATTATAACATATTAAAAACATTATAGCAGACCAAAATACTGCAACAAGTAAAAAAGTTTTGAGAGACAGTTTAAATATTTTTTAAATTAGAGATAATATTTAAGAAAAAATTAAAAATATCGATTAGGCAATATTTAATATATATGTATTAAAAAAATCGCTCATATATATATATATATATAATACAAAATATTACTGTAGCAAAAGGGCACTGCTAACTTTGGAGTATTTCTCGTAGAGACAAAGCCTCTCTTCTTTTCACGTCACCACTGTAGCTAACTATTCCTTGCACAGAAAAAGGAACCCTTGTCTTTTCAGCTTCTTTCTGGAGCAAAGGCATACATATCATCCATCTCCTATTAGCAATTTACGATCGAGCTATATGATGGATTAATTCCCCAACATCTATTTCGAGACTTGTGTGCCAGATTTCTGTGTTGGCATTTTCCACATTTATGTGTACCTGTAGTGCTAAACCAATTGCTGGCAAATTAAAATCTCTGACATCTTTAAGGTACTGTTTGTGGTACATTTCATGCATTTATTTTGATTTTTTCAGTTGTTAATATCAGAATTCCAAAAGAAATAGACTGCAAGTATTTTAGAACATCTTATGCTAGATTTTACTTTTATCAGTAAGATTTGATGTCTAAATAATTGATCAGTTAGATTTCTTTTTCTTTTATTCTGAACTGAGGAGAGGATATCAATCCGATCGATATAAGTGATAGGTAGATTAATTTTACTTGTAGAAAATGCTTCTCAATTACTTGGAACCCAAATGTAAGAAACAAAGACATTTCTCCTCTAAAGCAATCCATGGAGACCCTTCAACTGTACCTTCAGCCACAAATCCTACTTTCTTCCTTAGGCAGCTGAGATGAGATGGTTTTGAAACTGGTGAATCTAAATTCTATCCCATCCATGGTGGCATCAGCTTGCAGACATTTTACCTCTCCAGCAGATGGGTCAAGAACATGAGAATAATGGTGGATCAGCATTTGATGATGTCCACAAAAATGATTTGCACCAGAGAGAGTGTTTTGGAAGCTAGAGGAGAAGGGTGAAGCTAATGGGACAAGGGTAGTCTGATAAGTAGCGCAGGGGTTATGAGGTGTAGAACCGAAGGCTTTTTAGTGGACAAGACTGCTTTTTGTTCTCATCTAATTTCAACTACAAAACCCACCACCATGGCCATGGCCATGGGTGTGCACATTCGTTCTTTCTTTCTTTCTTTCTTTAACAAATGGTACGTCTGTGTTGGCACATGAACAAGAAGAAGAAGAAGAAGAAGGGTAGCTGAGAGTAGATCCAGAGAGCTAACACCAAACCCATCAAATCCAAGGAATATCCACCGCTGAGGTGGAGAACACTCCCGAGAACAGGCAAGTGGAGGTCTTCGTTCCTCTTCCATGCTGCTCCTGGGGAAGGGAGGCACCCATGGTGAGGGATTGGGTCTGTAGTTGTGAGCTCCCAAGCTTTCCTCTTCGGTTTCTGGTATGTGATCTTGTTGTGAGCTTGAACCTTCGAGATGCTCTCCCTTCCTCGTTGATGACTTGCAAGTGATCTGGAGTTGGACTAGTCGTGATTTTGTCTTCAGATGACTTGGGTTTTTGTCTCAGATCACCAAGGAAGGAGATGGCTTGGCTTCTCTCCCATGGCAAGAACAGGCACGGAGCTCATCCTCCTCCTGGTCTTAGCATCTTGAGAAGGGACTCATTCCCATTCCCGTCATCCCAAGCTCCGCCAACAGCATCCTCCGCAAGCAGCAGGATAAGCCCAGCAGCCCTCTTCACCATAGTCATTCTCGCACTCATCTTCTTCGTCTCCGGCCTCCTCCATCTCTTGGTGAGGTTCCTCATCAGGAAGCGCCCTTCCTCCGCCGCCACCTCATCTTCCCCGCACTCCAATGCGCGCCGCCGCGCCGCCGATCTCTCCGGTGGCTCCGGTTCCCTCCAACGCCAGCTCCAGCAGCTGTTCCACCTCCATGACTCCGGCCTGGACCAGGCCTTCATCGACGCGCTACCGCTGTTCCTCTACAAGGAGATCCTTGGCTCCAAGGACCCGTTCGACTGCGCTGTCTGCTTATCCGAGTTCGCCCCGGAAGACAAGCTCCGACTGTTGCCGGGGTGCGGCCACGCATTCCACCTCAACTGCATCGACGCGTGGCTGCTCTCCAACTCCACCTGCCCGCTCTGCCGGGGAGCCATATTCCTGCAGGGGCTGACGGTGGAGAATCCCATGTTTGATCTCGACGACCCGAGGGAGGAAGAGGGGGAGGAGGAGGGATTCTCGGCTCCCCGGGATGCCGACGGAGATGACATTGCGGCGGAGAAGAGGGTGTTCCCTGTGAGGCTGGGTAAGTTCAAGAACCTGAGTGATGGAGACCTCAGCGTCGATGTCGACATCGACGTCAATGATGATGGCATCGGCATCGACGTCGAGAGCGTGAGGAGAGAAGTGGGGGAGACCAGCAGCAGCAATTTGGATGCCAGGCGCTGCTTCTCCATGGGCTCGTATCAGTATGTGGTCGCTGACTCCAACCTCCAAGTGACTCTTTCTGGCACCGCAAGGAACGGAGACGACAGAGGAACAGGGTACAGTGGGGAAGCTGTGAGCAATGAAGGGATGAGGTTGGGCGTTGGCTACAGAGATGAGAGCTTCTCTGTGTCAAAGATCTGGCAATGGTCTGAGAGGAGGGGCAAGTTTCCTCCTACATGTGCAGATGCTGCTGCTGCTTTTGATGGGGGCTTGCCATGGCTATGGCCAGATTTGGAGGATGCATGAAGCATGGCTCCTTCAAGACCATCTCTCTCTTGCTTCTCTTCCATTTCATCTACTGCAAATCTTGGTGTGCTCCTTCGACATGCACCTGATTCATTCCACTGCTGATGTTAGAAGGTACGTTCGGGAGATAGTTGACGAGTAGAAGATCCAAGAAACACACATCAAGCATCTACTTGCCCTGTGTTGTGCTTTCACATGTTCTGATGAAGATTTAGATGGGCATTGCCTTCAGTTTCAGCTCAGAAGAGAACAAGAAAATTATCACCTACTTGCCTTGAGCTTTCCTATGTTTCCAGCTTCAACTAGGAAGTCAGAGAGCACTGACAGGGCCCAACCTGTGGAGAAAACTTGATGTCATCTTGTGATCCTGTAGCTTCCCAATCCCCTGAAAGTTCCAAAGATGCTTAGTCATAAACCTCAGCTTAGGATTATCCAAAGGTCTTCTACTGTAAGTTGGTCATTTATGAGATAGTTCTTGTTGTCTCTGCTTATAGGATGATGGGGAGTGGATTCTGTTGATGAGAGCAGCATCTTCGCATTTGGCCACTGTTATAGCCCTCTGGCTTTGTGTTGAGTACAGGCTTTGGAAGACACTGAAAACAGCTGTTCCTGTCAATAACCTCTGCTGTGTGGAAAAGGTCACATGGAGCAAAGACACACTCTGAGTATTATATATATATATATATTTATATATATATATTGTTTTGGTACTTTGTATCTCTAAGCAAAACATTTCTTGTATAAGGCTTGAAAGACTAAGTTCTATGGTTTGATTTCTACTGGCAAACATGAATTCTACATCAATTGTGCTTAACATCTGGCTTTCAGGGGGTGTTCCCCTCTAGTTCTTTCAAAATGTTAAACAAAAATGATTGTGCTTGACATCAGAAGAATAATAACATCTATTCCATCAAAGAAAATGAAGATGTAGTATAACAACATTTAATTTCTATGAATACAGCTTTCATCATGATCTGCAGAAATACACATTGTTATCTGTGGCAGTAGTATGTCTAAAGGACTGCCCATCATGGGTCACATTGTGAGAGAAAAGAAAGACCAAGTTTTTTTGAACTTGGATCTGTACAACTTGCTAAGTTAGTTTACTGTCACAGTGGCAGACAGGCAAAATCATTATACAAGACAGTGAATGCATTAATTCTAATGAATGACCATGTGGTTTTGTACTGAGGATGACATGGTGCTCCCTTGGAATTTAGTCTTTATTCCTATTCATTACCCAACTTCAATTAACCAGCACCATAGCATAACTTGGAAATAAGCAAACACATTTGGTACAAGATTTTCCACCAAATTATACAGATTTTGTACAACTGATGCAGGTCTTCAACCTCAGACTTACAGGAGACATTGTTGCCATTAGATGGCTGAAAGAACTAGTTTTCCAAGTTGTAGCCTAAGATCATCTAACATAATATCTATAAATCTGTGACTTGTTTCAATATTATCAAACCATAATTTAAGTTGGTAATGTGGAAGAGAAGATACAGTAAAATGTCCACATCTGTGTGCAATTCTAGAGAGCAAATGGCAACCATGAAAGGAAGAAAGACCCCTGATCTCAGAAGTTGCATGATAAAGATTCACAGAAAATGTTCAAGTCCTTGAGATGACTTTAGTTTCGATTTCTTGTTTGAGAATGAATAAAAAGTCTGTACATGATGATGATGCTAATCTTAGTCAAAAGAAACAGTCATGAAACCACAGAAAAACCAAGAATTTGCAGGGGAAAATTGGGAACAGTAAGGAGAGAAGATGGAAATTGGAGAATAAAAATCATGATGGATGAGACATGATGACTTTAGTTTCAATTTCTTGTTTGAGTATGAATAAAAAGTCTGTACATGATGATGCTAATCTTAGTCAAAAGAAAGTGTCATGAAACCACAGAAAAACAAAGAATTTGCAGGGGAAAATTGGGAACAGTAAGGAGAGAAAGATGGAAATTGGAGAATAAAAATCATGATGGATGAGACAAATCAAGCAACAAGGGACTAGCTTTATCTTTTATATCTGACTCAAGGTTTCACAAGACTGCCACAACAAAAACTGGAACTGATCACTTTACACCAAAAGAAGGGTTGTTACCCAGCTGAAAGGACACTGCCTATCCTGCTACTTGTAGTCAACTCCAAAGAAATGAGCAGAGAAATTGGAGGACCACCCAACATGGATTTGGCCACGACCAAGGTGTGACTCCATTTCATTTAATGGACAAGTCCTTTTCCATCCTTTCTACTTTATCACTTCCTTTGCCTATTTTGCAGAATCTTCAATTTTCTTTGGCATGATCCAACAAAAAAGCAGTGGACAAAACAAAAAATACCATGGATTGATTCCTTCTTTGTGCAACGTATGTTAGAGAACAGCAAATTTGATGAGCACATTGGAAAATCCTATGTCAAATTGCTGGAAGAATATTTATTAATTCAAATACAAAGAAACTTGGCAAAAACTAAAGGACTACTGATTTTCGTTGGCGATTAACTTTGGCCTAGTTAACGGGACGTCTCACGCAAAATAATATTCTTAGCTAGAGATAAAGCTCCGGGAACAAATATTTGGGGTGAATATGCAAGATCATCTATTTTTCATTCTTAGAGCCCCTAAAGTGTTCCCCATAGTAGTAAGCACTGCCAACCATCAATGCAACTGTTGCACCTTGAACTACAACACGAGCCCTCATCAGCTTCTGACCCAGCTGGGAATTTCCTTGCCTGAAGCTAATTAGACCCGCCGTAAGTACACCAGCAGTAATAAGTGCACCTGAGAACTTCATCGATCAATTTGAATGTAAGGAAATACTGAGAGCATTAACATTATTAACTCCTATTTGGTACTTAAAATTAATGCAACACTGTTACCAAAAGAAAGTAGGCAAATCTACTTACATATTTTAACAGCCATTACCAAGTTCCAGTGTCAGAAAACTGCAAATAGGGAAATTGACGGATGGAACCATCGGGATGGAGTAGTAGACATATCTTAAAGGTGACAACCTTCCAAATAATTTAATGCCTTGTTCTACTTGATATTAGTAGATCAGGTAGAGCTCACTCGAACCTTTTAACTATCTTGTGAACCGTTATGAATCATGTTCTGCATAACCACTAATAAAGATATCCTAAGAGAATAAGTTATTCAGACCAAGAAATTTGATACTTGTCCAAAATTGAGTTAAAAAAATAGTGAAATGTTGTGATCCATAAATATGCTCATAAAACCTTACAAAATTGTCTCTTTATAAGAATCCACCACATAGTTTAAACAAATTCGTTACCAAATTACAAAACTTGGGAAACTAAATCCATGAAACTAAATCAACCTTCTCAATTGATTTGCCTATGCTAAAAACCCAATTAAAGTTGATATATTGTCTGGTTTGATCTGAATAAGACATCATATGATTTGCTACACAATATAATAAAAAATAGTAAATCTTCAGATTAACTGTCAAGTGCATGCTTCATTGAGGTGTACCTAGAATTAAGCCCTCATATAACCAGAAATTTTTTTCATGTAAGTTGGAGGCCAGCAAAAACTGCCACATCCAGAGGCATTATGAAACGCCGTCCTTTCATGGTACCTATCTTCATCATATTGAAAATTCAGTAAATCCTAATGTGAGCCACATGCCATAAATAATTAATCATCTGATACAATTTTTGTCATAACACAAATATAAACTATAGGCCAAGCCCCAGGTTAGGAATAATCAAGAGGTACATTCTGTAGATAATTAATGATTACATATTCTCATGTCGTAGTCTATATCTGATATAAGACTATTTTTTATTATCACATAGTGCATAGGGTAGTAAGCTCAGAAAATCAGATGCAAGATTTAAAGTAAGAGATTATAATAGGACACGAGGCTAGCCCCTAGGAAACATTTCCAACACCAGGCCTGAAAATCATCCATCAACTGATAGACCTTTCTTTTTTAGTACATGTTCTCAGTTTGAAGATATACCATATTGATAATACAATTTGCCTTGATTCTGATTGTTCTATCTGAAGCAACGATGTCCATAAATGAAAATTTATGAGAATATACTCTTATGTTTTCTGGTGATATTAAATGATGAAATACGAATATCACGAAAACAATTCAGACATACATGAAGTACTTCTTTCTCTGATAAATGTTAAAAGGTTTTGTCTCTGATATTAAAGGGTTATCCCTGGAAAAAGTTGCAGCATTATCGATAATGGAAACTTATGGAAAGTTGGAAACATAAAATGACTGCAGTTGATTCGAAGGCCTTTTTTCTAGTTAGGCAAGAATTACTTGAAATAGTTTTCTTAACATGTGATCACTTTGAGCAGAATCTTAATTAGACTTCAGACGGTTGTCTGCTTTGGACACAAGAGATTCAGAAATGAATTATAATATGCGCGGGGGCTGAACGGTAACAGATCAAAAGTTGATGAACATTTCTTTTTGGGATTACTAGTCTAGTAAGCCGGCACATAAAAAAATCTAAGAGCCAAAATTGGGAGAGAATAATATAAAAGCTGCACAAATGAGAATGAAAACGGTCTGGCACAAACCTCATTAGTTGGGGAAGAACGACAGTGGGTGTTTCGGGATGTATAGAAGATATATCTCAAAAAGCAATTACATTCTCTGAGATCATATAGACATCAATTTGCTTGAAGGCTCACTCAATCGAATAGTACTTTTGCAATCACCAATTCAGTAATAAGGGCAGCTGATAACAATTCATCTCCCATTTCAACAAAATTGGTAGCAACTGATAACAATTCACCTCCTCTTTCAACAAAACTGTCCTTCTAATTTCGCGGCACCAGTATGACTGATTTACTAACCGAATTAGTCCAACAGGGCAACCATTCACACACTAGCAGCACTCAAAATTTGAACCAAATTGACAATCATACATAAAGTCCTCTGCAAATTTGAACCAAAAAGAAAATATCAAAACAAAACCAATGACACGTTTCCCTAAACGTCAAAGAACTAGGCTTAAACGTCAAATTCCCAATCCAATCCGTTCATGACAGCAAAACCAAAATCTTGAGCCCCAAGCTGCACCAATAACTCTATACCACTCAATCAATCCCAGAAATATAATAGAGAAACATATACCGTCACGATTTCGCAGCAGCATTAGCGCATTACTTTCTAGTTCGAAAAAGAGGTTCTCTTCTTCCCCAAAAGAAAGCTATACCAAACTAAACCACCAAAAGAACCTGTCCTTGACCATGTTTCGTCCACAATTTGTGTTAATCCTTTAATAGAAACAATCGACGCGACCCTCAAACCAGATCCTTTGACGCTAAGACAAGATGGAGGATTTGGACTCGAGAAAGGAAATAACAAGGGGGGAGATGTACCAACGGGGACGAGAGGGTTCTTGACCGGCTTCTTCCGGTCCAACAACTCCTCGATCTCCGCATCAGCGGCGCCCATCTTCTCCACGTATGAACCGAAGAGATCCGATGACGGTGATGAGGCGATGAACCCCTCGATCGCTTCGTCGCTCGCTCGCGCCTCCTCCTTCCCCGTCCGCAGAGCCACGGACGCGCTAGATTCGGATATTTGACCCTGCTAGACCCGGATCCAATTGGCAACTCTTCGATCCGACAACCCGAAACGTTCCCAAAGTCCGATCCGGTCCAAAATCTAATTGTATTTGTTTCGCATCCTAAACATTATTTACGATGAAAAATATCGAATATTTATAGGTATTATTTGGTGATAATGCAACGACGACCCCAATTCGAGGTTATATGAAATCTAATTGAGTAATAATAAGATCGAATCACCAATTAGATCATCGGACCAAAATCTAAACCCATATTTGACTTAGATTTGACCGACATTGTGATCTGAACTATATGATATGTGTAATGCAACTCGGTGAGTCAAATTCAACGAGTTAATATACTGAGAATTTTAGTCATTACTAATCTTAGTCATTTATAGTATAATGATAATTTTATGAGTCCAATCACAGCAGATTTTAATTGAATCACTTGGCGACCTCTATAATGTTTTTCATGTAATTATTTGATATTATTTTATCTAAACCAAGAGGCATCATTTAATATAATAAAATATGATATCGACATGATATGTTGATGATTTGATTGATATGTTTATATGTAAGTATTTTTTGGAGTTTTTCGTTTTGAGAAAAAAAAGGACATATGTGATATAATTATTATCTTACATACGTAAAAACTACTTAATTTTATATGCCTTCGACGTCGATATCCCGTTTCATATGCCTTCGATATTAATTTTATAAGAGATACTCATAACTCACTCGAGGAAAAAAATATTTTAAAATATCATCCAACAATCTCAAAGATTTTACTCGTGATATAATAATATTCTAAAAGTGGATCGGATCAAATCGATATCTATTTCTAATATGTATTAAAAGAGTTTTCCATTATTACATGTACCAAAAAATCCTCATAATTCTAGCAAAATTAGTAGGTAAGGTTATCCATCCTTGGGAGATAACTCTACAAAACAACATGAATATTGTTAGCTCTACAATCACAATCAGCCATGTTCTGATGATGATTAGCAATTTTGTCATTTCCTGTTAGCTGTTCATGCAAGGTTCAACCTAAGCTCTTCTAGGAGATTCAAGGCAAATTGTCCTGGAAATCTATTGAAACCTTTTATTGATTTCTCAGGTTCTGTGGATCCCCAAAGTGCCAGAACTCAGATGTTCCATGGATGCAGACCATGGTACTGTTATCTTTGATCCACAGAGAACCTGGTAATGTTCATGTTAGTCACAGACTTTGCATACACATCATCTCATTTCTATAGAAATACTGTTGTACTATTTGAATAATGTGTCCATTGTAGCACCCACCCAATCTACAGGAAATGATATGAAAATTATTTACTACCAAAAGACTCAACACAATCTATTAGAAAAAATGACATACTAACTTGATGTGTCAATGTTAGAATGACATCTAAAGAAATTTTTTTTTTCTCTTAATACACTTAATTCTTTATGATTGGCCGTGGTTACAAAATAAATACTATGAAAGAAAGGATCTCTCCAGATATAAGTATATTTCATATCATTTTTTTTAATGTATAAATTAACTTAAATATTAGAGGGACATCATCAAAAAAATATTTGCTTCGTTTTGAGGATTCGGATAAATAAATAATATCAAAGTAGGACCTCTTCGAGTATAAGTATATTTCATATTAATTTTTTTTAATGCATAAACTAACTTAAACATCATAAAAAATATTTCAGATATAAGTTTTACATAAATAATTAAAATTAAAATTAAACATATTGAACCTTTCAAACAAGAAAGATATTTGCTTCCAATCAAGTTATTTTGAGAATTTGGATCAATTCACCCTCAACATCTCCCTGATTTTTGGGTTAATCTTCTATATACCTCTTCTCCAACTTTAAATGTGACAAGATTCAATAAAATAACTCATGTCAGATCATTGAAATTTAAGGTAGAGGGATAAGCAAAATAGAGGCTTTTGATGCCAGGAAAAACAAGAGTTTGGCCAACTGGTCTCACCCATGAACTACTTGCATGATCTCAGGATAGAAGGATGTCAGTGTTGTGGCAGTATTTGAATTATTGTCAGCCTGGCTTCCAATTAAGAAATAGAAGATTTAGACTCCTTTTCCCTTTGATCACTTCATCTTCAAACTGTTTCTATCTGTCAATGAGTCATTTGCTTACTCTCTAATCATTCCAGCATGAAGCCTACTTAGTTCCATAGGCTTTCTTTAGGTTAGTATTCTATGATCTTTCTTGAACTTTGCAACCTTATCTTCTAAGTTAACTAATCTGGGCCATGAACAAACACATTGCAATCCTTCAAGATTGGTCTTCTACATGATGTTATAATAGAGGAAACACTTTTTTTATTGAGAAGCCAAATGGGTTAATTTTCTATGGTGCTACTTCTCTCTCTCTCTCTCTCTTTGGTGAGAGAAACATAAGGAGAGGAAGACAATGAATGAATCTAAATCTAGATGGAATGCCAGCTATAGAGGATAAGAAAAACCATTTCTGTTAGTTTCTGGTGAATTATTCTTTATTGTCCTGTCCTTAGCAAAGTGCAATCTATTAGACAAGTGGACATAATCTTGAATCCCCAACACTTTGACCATGATGGGATCTCAAGTCATTAAATAAATAACCTTAAACTCTTGACAAAAAGAAAAGAAAAATAAGATACAGCTGTAGAAGAACCAAGTAGCAAACAAGCTAATATGCTTGGTAATTTATCAAAAAATAATTAGGTATTTATTGGAGGACAATGTGTTGATTATGATCGAATCATATCAAAATTTATTGAATTAACACGAGTGTTATTCGAGTATGACCTTAAAATATTTTCATCAAATAAGTCAAAATTTCTCTAAAATTATTAGCACATGATCTTAAAATATTTAATATTTAATTCTTTTATAATTTTATAATAAATAAATTTTAAATAGAATATTTTTGGATTAAATCGATAATCAAGTATAACTCATTAAATTTCCATCCAATCTTTCTAAAATTCTTTAGAATTACTAGGGTGAGATTATTTTTCTATTTTTATGTAAATTTAGGATGATTACTTTTTGAATTTAAGAGTTTAATTATTCTATATATCGAGTTTTTTAATATTTCGCTCTAGTAAATATAGAGCGATAGATTATTTATGATGTACAAGAAATCTATAGTTAAGTTGAGATCCAACTATGAGCATCCTCATAGTAAAAAATTTAACTTTTATCTGTGGATACAAAAAGTATCGAATCATAAATCTCGTAAAATCTTTGTTAGGAGGAGAATTCCTTAATATCAAGAGAGAAATCTAAAACATCAAAATATTTTTCTTACCAAAATATAAAGATATATAGCATAATTATAAAATAATTAAATCCTAATTTTTAAATTTTGTTTGGTACAGAAAAATCTTTCTACACTAAGATTTTTTAATTCGATACTGACTTTAGGAATAAAAAAATATTTATCGGATTGAAAGACACATTATACACTACAAGGGAAGAATTTTTACATCTTAAAGAAAAAAACATATATATTTCATTTACTATGAGAAAGCTGTCAAAGAATGCCAGCTATTTGGAATCCAAGGATAATACTGCCACTCCAAGTCTCTTCATCTCCCAGCTTCCCTTTCTGTGAATCCAAAGATCTGTGAACACCACACCCTTTGGATTCGGACACCCATCACACCACACTCCCATAGGACTCAATTGACTTCTCTCACACCCCTATTTATCGTTTACACTCCCACTTGTCACACACTCCTTAATATTCTCTTTCCTCTCTCTTATATATATATATAGAGAGAGAGAGAGAGAGATGCACTCATTAAATTGGAAATGAGATGCACACATATAGGAGGTGCATGTAGAGCCACAAGAACAGTCTCTATTGCCAGCAAAACACCAAAAAGCTGTGGGTAGCAAGAATCATGTGATCTGCCCCTCCTCCTCCTCCTTTCTCTCTCTCTCTCTCTCTCTCTTACTTGCTTTCTCTTCCTTGGTGTTTTTGGGCAAGAACATGGCATCAACAGTCTCAAGATTCATCAAGTGTGTCACTGTTGGGGATGGAGCAGTTGGGAAGACCTGCATGCTCATCTGCTACACCAGCAACAAGTTCCCAACTGTAAGCCCGTGGGACTGTTCTCTTCGTTCCCTTCTTTCATCTTCAACCTCTGACTGGGTTTCGGCACCATTCTTTTGATTCTTCTCACTGATTTAGCTCGTTGGAAACTACTCTGTTCAGGATTACATACCCACTGTGTTCGATAACTTCAGCGCCAACGTTGTTGCAGAAGGGATCACTGTGAATCTGGGCCTCTGGGATACTGCTGGTAAGGCTGCCCATTGCTGATCTCATTGGAGGCTGGGATTTCACATCATGGGCCTTGAATCTTAACAGGGCAGGAGGATTACAACAGATTGAGGCCATTAAGCTATCGAGGAGCAGATGTATTTGTGCTGGCTTTCTCGTTGGTGAGCCGGGCGAGCTATGAGAATGTTCTGAAGAAGGTGAAAAGATTGGCCATGGCTTTGTTGTGCTGTTTGATCCTTTGCGGTAGTATTCAGCATGTTGATCTTATGTTTCTTCTGCTGGTGGTTTCAGTGGATACCTGAGCTTCATCATTATGCTCCTGGAGTTCCTGTTGTCCTGGTTGGGACTAAGTTGGGTATGTGGAACAACAGAATAAGCTTCAGATTCTCATACCAGCTAGTGATAATTTTGTTGTTGAATGATGTTTACTATGAACTATTTCCAGCATAATTATGTTCAGATCTGCCTGCAAAACAAGAGACATAAGGCCAATTCATGTCAAGGAGTCATTTGTCTTTCTATTAGGAGAATATAAAGAATCCATCAGATTCATCAGTAAATGAACTGAGTAATACTGGAAACTTTTCACCTTAAACTTTCCACATTCCCTAAGTTGGGTACATGGAACGCCAGAGTAAGCATCAAGATTTTACACCAGCTATTAATTGTTTTGATAGTTGTTGAATCATGTTTACTATGAACTCTTTTCCAGCATAATTTTGTTCAGATCTGCCTGCAAAACAAGAGACAACAAGGTCAGGTAATGTCGAGGAGTCAATTTGTCTCTGTGTTAGGAGAATATAAAAAATCCATCAGATTTATCAGTAAATGAACTGAATAATGCTGGAACTTTCCACCTGAAGCTTTCCACATTCCCTAAGGTGGTTATGTGGAACACCAGAATAAGCATCAGATTCTTACAATAGCTATTAGTAGTTTCGATAGTTGTCGAATCATGTCTATTATGAACACTCTTCCGGCATAATTTTGTTCAGATCTGCCTGCAAAACAAGAGACATAAGGTCTATTAATGTGGAGTCATTTGTCTTTCTATTAGGAGAATGTAAAGAATCCATCAGGTTCATCAGTAAATGAACTCCATATCGCCAGAAACTTACCACCTTAAGTTAGTCTTTGGAATTTTTGCTGAAGAAAAAAGAAGTTTACTCACAAGATGATTCTTTTGTCACTTGTTTTCAATTAGAAGTTCTAGATGGAACTTGTTTTCCAATCTCTTGACAGAATTAGAAGGTTTCATATGTTTTGTATGGTTTAGAAACTATGCCTAAGATGGTCGATTATGTCATCTTCATATTTGATATATCCATTCATATGGAATAGAGAAATTTGAGTATGGATCTGGCCACTACCAATTTTTTTGTTTGACTTAATATATAAGCAAAAGGCTTTGGGTTGTATTAGATTTGGTATGTGTTGAGAGGGTTTAGATCATCTTCAATGACTCCATCCTCACAAAGTCCACAAGGCATGGAAAGTGCGTTGGTATAGTGGTGGCAGTTTAGCTGTCATGTAAGAACCATAACTTAACTAGTTTAAGCACATGCATTCATGGAACAACAATCAGATGAAGTGCTAAAACCATATTTAGAGTATGACAAAATGTTCAGGCAGCAAGAGAAACAAGTCACTAGTGACTTAAAAACCACTTATAGTTACATTATTCTTTCTTCATGATGAGCTACTTTAGCAGAGCCATGATTCATGACACTGGTCTTTATAGCATTTAAGTGTCTGAATTCCTATGTTTCTAGTTTGTCCAATGACTTAAAGTGTTTAACCAATGATCATCCATATGATGTAAAATTAACCAAAAATGCATGACAGTTTTAAGACAGGAAAATGTAAGGAAAGAAATCAAGATGAAAAGGGATATGCTTAGGAGAATTGAGTGTAGGAAGGGGATCAAGGAAGAAGTCGAGTAGGTTTCCACTGTAGGCTTTATCATTGGAGAGATATAATCCATGTTCTAAAGATAATTAGTTTTACTGTCTGTATATGCCTTCTCATTTCTCACCTCAAAATGCCAAAAAAAAAAGCAAAAATTATATCTCAAACCAAAAACTAAAATCAAAGATATCAATGTTCAATGATGCCAATGATATAATCACTACAAGTGGTTCCATAATTTCATATGACATTCCTCTATCAAAATGCCATTTTCAACTATGGTATCTTGTTTCATCATGGTATTCATTACAATAATCTGCAGATCTTCGTGAAGATAAGTACTATTTGGCAGATCATCCTGGTGTGGTGCCTGTTACTACTGCACAGGTACTATATCCACTTGAGTGTGAGTTCATTGTGTTTCAAGCAATGATAATTGCAGCTTTTGATCCATGCTTCTTTGCCAGGGAGAGGAACTCCGTAAGCAGATCGGCGCTGCATATTACATAGAATGCAGCTCAAAAACTCAACAGGTAGGCTTTGAATTTTACTCTCATCATTCTCTTTTTTTTCCCGTAGTCATTGGATATTTCACGTATTTTATAAGTTACCAACCAGACCTGGTTTCGTAATCCTGACTTTTTCATTATGCTCTGACTTGTCTCTGCAGTATCAGATTCATAGACTTTTAATGCTTGTTGTGAGCATGCTTTTACAATCAGAACAGCCTTAAAGCTTCTTTTCCCTTCTGCAGAATGTCAAGGCAGTTTTCGATGCTGCCATCAAAGTCGTTATTCAGCCTCCCACAAAAAGAAAAGACAAGAAGAAGAAAAAGTCACGACATGGGTGTTTGATATTGTAAGCAAATCCCCTCTCAACCATATTGGTCTCATCATGTATTCATTTGTTACACTTAATGTAGTTGCTGATTTGGTTGCTAGGTTCTATAAGTTCATAATAATGCTAAAGGAGTAAACAATAACTTCCATTTTCTGTACAAAGACTCACATCGAAACAAGCTGTGTTGCTACTGCAGGAATTTCCTACGCGGAAGGAAGCTTAAGTGAAAGTGCTCTCAGTAGTTAGTAGATTTAGGTTGAATCTCTCTTGCATTTATATCCTAATATATGAAGATTAACGATGAATCAGATAAAGTTTGATGATGCTGAAGTTCTTCTAATCTGTAACTGTGCACCTGATCATTCCAAAGAAAATGGGCATGTTCATGTTGCAAGAACAGAATAGTTGGGTTTTCTGTGGATACGAGCACATGATGTAACTGGGTCATTTTCCAATAGTTGCGCTGTATTTGATATGTAAAGGAAAAGTTAATAACATAAAAAGACTTCCTAAGCTTAGTGTCTGATGGAATAATTGCAACTTCCTTGATGTTTACTTCTTTATATCTTGCTAAGAGAAATTGCTGTGGAACTCTCAAGGATATTTATCTATAATTTGAAGGAAGGTGAGAATCTTCAGTTTTATTTTTTATTTAGCTCAACATAACTGATACATCAATCATCTTGAAAGGATACTACCTTAAGTTTTCTTCTCTGCTATATAATTGTGAATCGGTATCAGAATACAATTTTGATTTCTACTTGATACAATGGTGCTTTGGGATGCTTTCTGGAGCTAATGGATATGACCACCATATAATGTTGAGTAGCAATTGAGAAAAGTTGAGCAATGAATAGTATGTCTCGATTAAGTAATGCATGAGCAAATGCTCAGCTCAAATTTACATGATCATGAAAGGAACTTATTGTACTCATTGCACTTTAATCCAAAAAAACTGTAAGAATAATATGTCTTACACAGATACCACAGATAGAGCATCCTATACTACTTAATAGCACAAATGTTTTGTGCTTACCTGTTGAGTCAAGCTAATAATGCCAAGCTTGTTCCAGTTATTAGGCTTCTAATTACAGGAAGAATTGTCATCTGACTTTGAATTCTCTCCTTGCCAACAATGAATTTTCTTTCAAGCAGTAGCTCAGAAACCATTGGATCTCTGCAATCAAAATCATTGACATTGATAACTATCCTTTATTCAAGAAAATAGATTGTAGCTTCATGCATGAAAAAAGAATCATACACAAATTGTTGTACCAGAAGAAAAATGACTTCATCTGAGGCATCTCACTGAACTAATTTAACTAGATTTTATGTTGCTTTAGTTGAATTGCTTCTGGAAACCTTCTCCTCCATGAGATCATCTGTATCATGACCACTTTGCTGGTCCCTCCCTCTTCCCCCCAGTCATCAAAGTGTCTTTTGCAATTGCAGATCATGATGGCAGGGACCAAATGAAGAAAGGTAGAATAAAGAGAAGACCATGGTTATCAGACTTAAGTGGTGCTTATGATGATTAAACAGAAGACCTTTATCTCAATCTGTTCAATGGAGAAGTAGGCAGAGAAAAAAACTTCAAAGCAAAGATTACTAGATAACAGACATCTTTGCAGCACATTTGAGCCTTCATCAACTCCCGTCAATGCTGTGCGATGAATTCATGCTACATATAGATCCCTCACTTGGAACACAAGTACTCTTTCTATTAACTCTAAGCTGGTCTGTAGCCGACTCCTTCATAGGATTCCCGACTTGGAAACAAGAAATAGTGGAGGTTACCTGAGGCAGATGCATAAACCTTCTGTCAACAAAGTTTCAAGTGTCTGTAAGTTTGTGGCCACGCCATGTGCTTGTGATGTGTCTGCTCATTACGGATTCCAGCGCTGTCCCCTGCGACAGCAGCACTCCCCCACGGCTTAACTTGCAACGTTGGCCATGAGCTTGTTAGCCAGCAGCAGCAGCAGCAGCAGCAGCTGACGAGATGCTTTTGCTCTGTACGCCTCACTGCTTGAACTGTACTGATCGGTCGTGTTATGGACTGTTGGAAAATCTCTCGGGGCAATCAACGATAGAGGAGAAGAATGCATTTGAAGTGTTTGCTGAATTGCCGATTAGGATGAGGAATCGCACTCAACAATCGAGATTAGTTGACCGGCGAGTCTCTGCACCGGTGGATGGATTCTGCTCACCTGCAGTGACAACAACATAGTGGGACTCGAGCCATTTTGTTACCAAAATAAAATATTCCAAGGCAATATATAACTGACTGGGAGGTGGTAGGCGCACCGGAGAGTGTTCGGATCTCAGACGCGCGGGTGGATTCTGGTCACCGATCGAAATTTTTTTTAAGCCACTTTACGGTGAGAAGGGGTACGGTAAGCTCACCCCGTGGCTTCTATTAATGGGCTACCGCAAGTTAGGCCTAATTTTAACGGGCCTAAACAGTTAACAGGCGTGGATATCTTAACGGGTCTGGATCCGTTAGGGCTTTTGCAATGGGCTTAGCAATTTGCGGCCCGTTCTCTCTTCTCTAAAAAGACCAGATTCGGGCCACCGGAGGTGAAGTTAAGTTCTGCGACAAGAATATTCTGTTTCCCATCAAAGCATTTCAGCTTCCAGTTTTTAAAGGTGAACTTACCGGTGAGATTTTGGACCTTGTACTCCTTTCCGCCCCATGTTTAGGGCCCATATTAATGATGGGCTAATTTGAGCCCGTTGCTCGAGCCCGCCATATCCAACTGCCCACCGCAGGTGTGGTTTAGACGGTGTAGTTCGAACGATTTCGTGCAAATATATTCGATTTCGGAGCCACCGTGTCATTTATTCAAGGGTTAAGGTTAATTTTAACCTTTATGATTTTAATTATAGACTACTTAAATTTTTATAATTTATTTATATCTAAAATAATCTTTATAATTTTAAAAACGTAGTATATAAGTTCCTCCTATCAAGTCTGAATTAATAGACGTTAAAGTTTGCTTACGTTAACTCATAATAAATTATTAATATAAATATATATATAATTTAAATTAAAAAAATTATTTTAATTCTTATAATTTTAGTTATGGTCCATTTAAGTCCTTATTGTTTTGTTTGTGTCTAAAATAATCAATATATTTTCAAAAACATAGTATATAAGTCACTCTTATATACTTAATTATTTGGTTTGTGATTCACGTAACAAGTTCACAATGCTAAGCTGACGGGATCCCTACGTATAGAGACACAAATAAGTTCACAATGGAATAGGATACACAACTTGTGTAGTATCAAGGGATTTCAATGGGCAAACTGGCATTGTTTTGTGTCTCTGTATTATTTTAGTCGTTATCATAATGGTTAATGTTGCAATTTGCCATGACTATTTAGGTGGATAAATATTCAGTAATTTGGTTTTAGGCATCCAAAATCGAAAGAAATTATATAAATGAAAAAACTTTTTAATGAATTGAAGATCACAAAAAGATGTATTCGGTTCATATGCATGAGTGACAAGGCCACCATCAAGCAATAAGCAAGTCAAAATTTAGTTAGACTGCAACTTAAAGAGCTCATAGAGCAAATGTCATAGTTGTGTGTTATTTATAGTGTGTTATTTTTTACTCTGTACCTCAAATTTGATGGTCAAGTGTCTTTATTTACTTCAATTTATTGTTGACATCTCTTCCACTTTGGGATTCCAAACGTCATGTTCAAGGAGAAGGCATCGATGATCCTCGGGAGGAATTGTGAAATGCTAGTTTTTGTTTTGATTCTTTTCTCTTATCTTCGGAATTTACTGCATGTTGCTCTAAATAAAATGTATGCATTTCTCATTCTACTTAGCGTGCTCTTCAGTTCTAGCGTTCCCTTTTTCTTGTAACGATTAAAGAGCACTGGGATTCTTTCTAAAAAGCATAAAATATTTATCATTTTGAGTAATGCAGCTCCGGCAAAAAAAAATAAGGCATATTTTGGTCGCGGCAAAGGATTGGCAACCACCTTACGACCGAGGTGATGCATGTGCACTGACAAAGTATCTTGGAACCGGGGGTGACGAGAGCCATACTCGTGTTGCCTACGTGGCGTTGCCCTACCTTGAACCATCTATGTTGATAGAAGGCGACATAGCATGGGATGGAGTCATACGGGTCGGCTCGCGCAATCGACCTCTCGAGGTATCATGGATTATTAACGGGTCTCGTGCAATCAACCGTCCGACAAATATGTATAAAAGTCAATCCCTTCCTTATATACAGAGGCAAAAAAAGAGATGTCATGAAAGATCTAACTTAAACTTCAGATGGGTCAAGTCGAGAATCCCTCTCCCAACGTCGATCTTTTTTCATAAGAATCAAAGGTCCGCTTCGACTCGTTCGACAAGGCTTCTTCCTGACCCAACCTGATTTTATCACAACATCTTCAAGATCATAGTGCCAGTGATTTTATACCTTTGGGACGAAACCTAAGTGTGCCGATGTTAAATTTCACAACATAATGTATATAGCTGATTATTCTCAACAATTTTTTTTTTCTAATTAGTCAAATAGTAACCAAAAGAAGGGTGAGGAAGTTTAAATGTTTATGGTAGCGTTTTCTTTTACTTCCGATAAGAGAAGGAAAATCTTTATCCGGTTTGTTTTGTATCATTAGAGATTGACAGGTAAAGTAAGATTTTAGCTTGCAACCTCATTCGATTATATGCAGTAATGATCCGATGATCGAACGATCATATCAACTTGGATTGATGGTGGTCACCATATATGGGCGGAAACCCCTTTGCCAAAGAACATCGTAGAGTGAGTTGGTGTGCTTTGACAAGTCAGTCATGAAAGCAACAGCGTTGACTACAACACTAAAGTCCAATGGATGATAGCAAATTCTACCAAGAACAAGACGGTGCTGAAAGTTCATCCTTAGCTTGCCATTGTCTACTAGTACTTAAATGTTTAGATAAAGCGATAATGATAAAAATAAAATAAAATAAGATGCCATCGAAACTCTAATCTTCATTGAGAATATTAAAAAACAACATTTAAAATATTTTTATATTTTTTTAACTAAAATAGTTTAATGCTTGTTAACTTTAATTGTTTTATGGATAATAATTTAATATTTACATATGTAGTATACTTCAAATTTTATGATGACAAATATGCTATTTTCAAACATGGCAACAGTAAAAATAATACATATAATATCCCAAAAAAAGAAAAAAAACCATAATTATGCATTAGCATCGTCTCCTACCAAAATAAACCTCAGCATACTTTTCGGCAGAGGATAAATCTTCCATCGTTTTCTTGTTGTGGCCACAATTCGATCCGGAGACGACACGGCATCGCTCGGATAAGAAACCGGTGATCCCGCCGTGACACGTGCTTGCCTCAGGGTCACTAACCCACTGTAACTGGAACCGTGTGCCGACCCGCTGCATCTGAGTCCTCGCTCCCATTTTGGGGTCCGTGCCGATCTTTCCTCGGGTACTTTGATCGGAATCAAGGTGTTCGAAGAGGCATCGTAAGTTGAGGCTTCGATCCGGAGGGTCCCCGGCTTGGTGGTGACCTGAGAACACCGCGATGGCTGGTGCTGCGAAGGTTCAGGGTTGTTGCGCCGACACTCGCCCGGGCTATGCGTCCCCCCTCGAAGCCATGTCGGGGCCGCGGGAGGCCTTGATCTACGTTACCTGTGTCTATAATGGTAAAAGGATCGCGCCGTTTGGTTGTTTCTCTGAGCTATTTTTGAGCTTGGGGGAGTTACTGGTTTTGATTCTGATGTGTTTTCTCAGTAGGCTGTTACGACGAGGAATCTTCATATGCATATTCCTTGTTATTAATCCTTGCGGATTCAGTCGTCTCTTCTTTTCTTTTTGTTTCAATCGAGACGAGAAGTTCCTCACAACAATATCACTAACAAAAACAAATTCGTAAGTCTAACCTACTTAAATTTTTATTAAAATATTTTTAGATCTTCCTCTACGTTTCCTCGTACCAATACCGCATCTAGAAATCTTAAACTATGAGTATCTCATCTTATCCTCTATCCTCTGTTGAAGCGATACTTACTTGATCATGAATAAAAGTATTTTTTCTCTCTCTGTTCTAGTAACTCTATACATCCGACAACATAAATTTTTTGTATATATTTTTTTTCTTAACTGTCCAATATTCAAAAGTTTCTCACCAACAAACAAAATGAATTATATTGTTGGTTCGAAAATAAAAGGTCTTACTTTTGTCATAAATGAGAAGGAATAGGTGATGACATTTTTAGTAACTATGCACTTTTGATTTGGGACCAGATTCTGTTATTCATGCGTGATGTCAGGTGTTCAGGGCCATCAAAAGCCACCTTGCTTATTGATCATTGATGTAACTTCTCTAGCTGTCAGAGGTTTGATTGAGATTTGGCCCCTTCTTTGACTGTTCAGGAGTGCAGTCCTCATGATATGTATTCCCTTTTCTTAAGGGCATCATCAACGTTTTCCAACATATCAGGAGATTTTGACTTCTTTCTTGTATTTATAATCTTGTGTGAAATACATACTCGGAACAGGGATTTCTGGGGTTTAAAAGAATAATCTTTCAAAATTGGCATTCGTAAGTTCTTGTTTTTGTTTTTTGTTCTTAGTTTTTGGGAGTTTATGGGGTTTTATTTCATGGTTGTTTAATGCTTGATCTCCATTGTCGCTATGGAGGAATCTTGCAGGTTTTCTAGTTCATTCCTTTTGAACTTGGTAAGCATGCATGGTTATTTATAGCATAACTAGATGCATAACACCAAAAGTCATCAAATCAAGCCCAACCGGCCAATTTGATGAGACGAGGAAGAAATCTAATTCTATCATTATGAAAAAATATTGAATTGAGAATCACATTGTATTTGTTCTTGCAAAGCATAAACTAATGTAACACCCTCGGTTGAACTTATTGTAGAAGAAGCAAATTTTGAATTAATTGGATA